ACCCAATATAGGAGCCCAAATTATAAAAATACCATATATGAAATGGACTTTAGAAACACACCCAAAGCTCATTTATAACATAACAAAAAGGTTTTTAACTTCTTTTAAATTAGAAAACGGTTATTGATTTCTCAAAACAAACTCAACCCCAAAACATATAAACAAGCCCAAAATATTCAATAGGACATCAAAGTAATTTAATAATCAAAATTAAATTTAATAGGGCCAATTGTCCTTTTTTGGGTTTGTTTAAAAATTAAGTGGTGTAGCATAAATAGAAGAACACTGGGCTTTCCAAATACTCCAACACACAAAGGTAGCATAAGTTAAAATCCATTGTTTCTCCAGGCTCGAGAAAACAGAGTAGAAAGAAATAGCCAAAATCCATTTATCCAACGAAGAGAAAATCAGACCACGTGCATGGCATGGATTAAAAAAACAAAATGGTTTTTTTTTCCTTTTTTTCTTTTTCTTTTTTTGGGGTTAATATTGGAGGCTGAAAGGATCCTAAAGGAGAACAAGCAGCTCAGCAAACTTCATATTACATGTGCGTGGTGGTAGGTGTAGGCAGTCCATACAGAATTTCCTTATCCATATAAAGAAGAGGATGCTTTCTCTATATGTGGAGTGGTATGCATACCTTTCCTTCCTTTTTCATCTTTTCTTTTGTTGTCACTACTAAAAAAACTCATACTAGATACTGATTTTTGTTTGGGGAGCATTTTTGCTCATCATTTTAACCTAAGGTGTACTCTCACCATCCTTCTCAACTTTTGACATGTATCTATTGACATAACCATGATTCCATAAATACAAAGTAAAGAGTTAACTATGGTTATGCTAATGGACACGTGTCAAGTGTTGAGAAAGATGGTGATGATATATCTTGAGTTAAAGTGATGAGCAAAAATACTCCCGAATTGGAAAAGGACCGGTGGGTCTGTATTGTGTATTTAGATGTGGTTATATTACAATCATGGTTGACTATTAGTGGGAAATTACAACGATCTAGGGAAATTGAGAGTGAAGAAAGGGATTGTGTTAGCCGTTGGGATTGGCTGAATTAGTGCAATCTTACCTTCCATATTCGTGGTTGTTCTCTAAATAATTTACAACTCTTTTAAACTCTTGTTCCACGTGGTTAATTTAAAAATGTATTAAAGAATTACTGCCACTTTTTGGCTTTTCGACAAGTTTATGCTACCTAATAAAGTGATGGCATTTTGCATTAATTTAGTAGTAAAAGCATATACCAATTATTACCAAAAAAGAATATACCAATCAAGAACAATATATTATTCACTACTGGTACATATAATAGTCTTCGAATTATCTTCAAATATTTAAGTTTTATTATCAGTGGCACGTTGTGCATATAGTCTATAGACATATCATTACATTATTCTATTTATTTATTAATATAGTGTGTGTCTGTGTGACTTGGTCAAAAGAAAAACGAAAAAGCATGAATATTGTAACATTAATGTGAATAATGTGAAGCATTTCTTTACATATACCCAGATAAGCTCTCCCGCCCCCCAACAAAAAGATATTATTGAAAAAAAAAGAGCCAGCTAGTTAGCTAGGAATACTTTAAACTTGAGCAACGCAGGAACACTGGCTTAAAACGGAGATAACACTGTTTTGCTATCTCCGACGAATAATACTATAATATATGGAAATGTTATCTCATGTGTTATTGCGTTATTGATAGGGGATAACAAAAAGTTCTAGTGTTTCTTTAAGAAATGAGCATAGTTTAAAGACAAAACCCAAGTGGTGCATCTTAAAAAGAATATATTCCAGCTCAGAAAGAGTTCAATTTGTGCATGTTTTTTTTACACCATATATATAACCAGGGCCACCCAAGTAATTATCCTCAAAACCTAGGGTCATTTAGCTTTAGTAGAGCCTATTTAAAGAAGGCAAATTGTCAATTCAAAGCAACATATATATAACCAGGGCCACCCAAGTAATTATCCTCAAAACCTAGGGTCATTTAGCTTTAGTAGAGCCTATTTAAAGAAGGCAAATTGTCAATTCAAAGCAACAAAGTTTCCTCTCAAATAATATCATACATAATGGAAATATTGCCAGTAGCACTAGTCTTCTTCCTTGCCACAATTGTATCAACCACCCAAGGTTATGAGCCAGTTCTAACCCACCATATCCATCTCCTCAAGCCAAAAACCGGCGGAGCCAGAGGCAGTGTCCCCGGCTTGTCTTGCCTGAGTTGGCGGTTGGCGGTGGAAACTAACAACATTATTAACTGGAAGAAAGTTCCAGCAGAATGTGAAGGGTATGTAGGGCACTACATGCTTGGCCACCAGTACAGAAAAGACTCAAAAGTGGTCACTAATGAGGCTTGGCTCCACGCTAAGAGTCTCAATCTTACAAAGGATGGCAAGAATGTGTGGGTGTTTGACATTGATGAAACTACACTCTCTAATCTACCTTATTATGCTGTTAATGGATTTGGGTAAGTTCTAAATTAAGTCAATTGATTAATGAATAATGCATTGTGTAGATTAGCAAAACCACCAGCTCTGGCACTCTAAATTATATAGACTACTTTATTTCTATTTTTTTGGTTCACAAGAAATGCCTTCATTATTTTTATTGCAAAGCAATGCCTCATTGGACAGAACATAATATACTTTATTAATATTGTATAAGTATAAGAAATCATTAAGCACCTTTCTCTCCCTCACTATGCATGTTTTTTTTAATCATTAGCTTCATAATAATGCTTTTTTAGTACAAGCGATTGGGGGTTTTACACGAATACTCATTGAGTGTCTCGGGGGTTTCGAACTTGGAAGTTGAAGAGCTCAGCCAAGAGAGCTATACCCTTCTGTTTTCTTTTTTCTTTTTTTCCTTTTTTTTAATGAAAAAAATATTTGGAAGACACTTATACTTCAAAAATATTTGAAAATTTTACCTTTCTCTCCCTCACTATGCATGTTTTTTTTAATCATTAGCTTCATAATAATGCTTTTTTTAGTACCAGCGATTGGGGGTTTTACACAAATACTCGTCGGGTGTCTTGGGGGTTTCGAACTTCTGCCCACATGGATGGAAATTGAAGAGCTCAACCAATAGAGCTATACCCCTTCTGTTTTCTTTTTTTCCTTTTTTTTTAATGAAAAAATATTTGGAAGACACTTATACTTCAAAAATATTTGAAAATTTCAGGACTGAGTTATACAATGCCACTTCATTCAATGAATGGGTCTTAAAAGGCATAGCCCCAGCTTTGCCTGAGAGTCTCAAGCTCTACAAAAAGCTTTTGACACTCGGAGTCAAGGTTGTGTTCTTAACAGGAAGAGGAGAAGATCAAAGAAATGTCACATCCACCAATCTCAAAAATGTCGGATATCACACTTGGGAGAAGCTTATACTCAAGTAAGAATCTATATTCCCAAATTACCCCTTACACTTGAGTGTTTTGTAATTGTTTTAGTGACATTATTTTTGGTTTGCAGGGGGTCTGCTTATACTGGGAAGACATCGTATGTGTATAAATCAGCAGAGAGAACTAAGCTTGTGAAGAGGGGATTTAGAATAATTGGAAATGCAGGTGATCAGTGGAGCGATATCTTGGGGACAAATGTTGGCAATCGGACCTTCAAATTGCCTGATCCAATTTATTACATTAGTTGATATATCAGTGTTCTGATTTTTGTTTTGCTTTTGCGAAACACTTGAATCATGTTTGATTAAGGCTTTTTATTGACCAAATAAAAATTGGCAATGTTCTAAGTGCACTTTATCTCGAGTATGATATAAGGAAAATACTTGGCTCATTCTCTGTAAGTGAGAGATTTTTCAATGTAAACATCACACCGACGCATGTTTTCATTCTCTTTAGAAAGAGCCATTGTTCCCTACAATCAAATTACAGTTTAACCCGTGTGAAGAAATTTTTCTTTTTATACTTTTAATGAGCTATATAGATATATAGGGACAAATAGCTCCTTACAGGGAGGAGCCAATGCAATGTTCTTAATTTAGTCATAACCTTTGGACTGTTGAGTTTTAAAATCGTCATATCTTTTTTCTCCTTCAATTTTCTCTCATCAACCAAGCAAGAGCTCTTTGTGCCTCTTTCAGTGAGTTTTTCTTTTCAATTGTTGTGTATATACTTATAAAAATATCCCTAATTGGCACCCTTGAGTTGTAGTCAATTTTTTTCCATGGTCCTCCTTACAAGATTTTTTCTAGTTTCCACCCCTGAAAACAAACCTCGTTCACTCACCAAGAAACAGATGAGCTAAGGAATGGGCAACCACATTACACTCCCCAGGCTGGAACGACACTTCAAACCAACATGATAGCATTAACAATTGTCAACGGGGTTTAGTCCAGTTGAAAAGAATATTGATTTGCACACTAATGATTTCAGGTTCAAACAGCAATGGTACAGTGTGTGAAAGAAAAAAGAACGATTGCCAATACTAGTCTTCTTCCTAATGAGCATGATTTTGAAGACAAAATCAAGATGTATCCAAGCCAATCTAGGACAGAGACATCAATAATTTTTGTTGTTGTCAAACTTGAGGAAGATTTTATTATAATCGTAATTATCGTCAAATGAAGGGTCATTTAGCTATAGTAGAGGCTATTTAAAGACGGCAAAAGCAGAAGTTTCCTCCCAAACAATATTTACTGATACATCATGGAAATATTGCCAATATTAGTGCCCGTTTGGCATTGCTTATTTGGGGTGATAAGTGATTTTTAAAATTTTTTGAGAAGTCCAGCCCGTTTGGTAAACTATGAGAAAATCACTTATTATTAAAAATTGCTGTGAGAGAAAGCTATAAGTGAAAGCAGCTAATGAGGTGCTTTCATTTTCTGATTATGCAGGAATCAGTTTTGAAGAGGCGTTGGGTTTAATGATTATGCCACAATCATTTTCTGATTATGAGGAAATCAAAACTAACAACACTTTTAACAAAAAATTTACCAAACGCCAAACTGCTTTCCCTCACAGCTGATTTCTCTCACAGCAAATCTGACAGTGATTATTTTCACAGCACAGCAATGCCAAACTGGCCCTTAGTCTTCTTCATTGCCACAGTTGTATCAACAACTCAAGGTTATGAGCCACTTGTAACCCACCATATTCATCTCCTCAGGCCAAAATCCGGAGCAGGCGGTGACACCGTTCCTGGCGCGTCGTGCTTGAGTTGGAGATTTGGGGTGGAAACTAACAACATTATTAACTGGAAGACTGTTCCAGCAGAATGTGAGAGCTATGTTGGGCACTACTTGCTTGGCCACCAGTACTGGAAAGACTCAAAAGTGGTCACTAATGAGTCTTGGCTCTATGCTAAGAGTCTCAATCTTACAAACGATGGCAAAAATGTGTGGGTGTTTGATATAGATGAGACTACACTCTCTAATCTACCTTATTATGCTGATCATGGATTTGGGTAAGTTTCTTTATGCTAATGTTATTACTCTAATTTGTTTTTTTTGTTATATATATATATATATATATATATATATATATAGAATTAATGAATTAAAGTACTATAGTAGGGGTAAGCCGGCAAGGGATGATATCATGAGGTTATTATATTATTTCGAATTATCACTCTTGAATTTGAATATTTGATTAAATCCAAATCAAAATCGAAAGTTTCTATAAATAAATAAAAAATAAAAGCAAAGAAAATCCATTGAGAAAATCTAGAAATAAAATATTTCTTGATAATTTATGGATTATTGGAAAATCACATGCATCAAGGTTTGTCCTTGTCTTTGGTAGGGTTGAGCCCTTATATTTTAAAAATATGAAATTTCAGGACGGAGTTATACAATTCCACTGCATTCAATACATGGGTCCTAGAAGGCACAGCCCCAGCTTTGCCTGAGAGTCTCAAGCTCTACAAGAAGCTTTTGAAACTTGGAGTCAAGGTTGTATTCATAACAGGAAGAGGAGAAGATCAAAGAAATGTCACAACCACCAATCTCAAGAATGTCGGATATCACACTTGGGAGAAGCTTGTGCTCAAGTAAGAATCAATATTCCCAAATTATCCCATACACTTAGGTTATAGTTTACGTTTTAAATTACAACTTTTCATTTACAGTTGTAAGTTAGATCATTTGATAAGGACAGTATCTCCGCTCGTCAAACTGAAAAAAGCATTTCTATTGTACTGTTTATATTTTAGTAACATTTTTGGCTTGCAGGGGATCGACTTATTCTGGCAACACATCATATGTGTACAAATCAGCAGAGAGAACTAAGATTGTGAAGAGTGGATTCCTATAGTTTACGTTTTAAATTACAACTTTTCGTTTACAGTTGTAAGTTAGATCATTTGATAAGGACAATATCTCCGCTCGTCAAACTGAAAAGGCATTTCTATTGTACTGTTTATATTTTAGTAACATTTTTGGATTGCAGGGGATCGACTTATTCTGGCAACACATCATATGTGTACAAATCAGCAGAGAGAACTAAGATTGTGAAGAGTGGATTCAGAATAATTGGGAATATTGGCGATCAATGGAGTGATATCTTGGGGACAAACGTCGGCAATCGGACCTTCAAGTTACCTGATCCAATGTATTACATTAGTTGAATGTCTTCATTAAGGTTTCCTAATGAGCAAATCAAAAACCCAAAAGGTAGCAATGCTTTCTGTTTACAGCTAGCACATGAGTGAATTTTGATTACAGCTAGCTACAATAAGTTAAATTTTATCCGATGCAAGAGCATCTCCAATGTTGGGTTATAAATTTGTAAACTTTGCCGGATTGAGATTGAGATAAGAGAATTCAATCCAACGATTGAAGATGAGATGAAATTTTATTATGTCGGATCTTGAATTGTGTGCAAATCAAAGATAATAATGGTGTGAGAGGAATTGTGTGCAATTGGTTCAGTATATGAATTCACCAACTTTTATTTTCTATTTTTCTTTCTCAATTTATATGATAATAATATGTAGAATGTACGTGTCTGTAAAAGAATGGTGAATTTATAATACTTTTTATGTACACACGGAAAATGTGAATAGATTCATTTTCCAATGCTAATAATACTGGCTAAGTAATTATAAGAAAATCCTGTCAATTAATGTGAAATTTACTATGTGTGATTAGAATGCAATTCAATGTAATTTAGGAACACAATTCATGTATGTTTTCCCACGAAAGAGAAGAAAACCCACACTTAACTCACGTGGGTCCCACGTGACCATGAACACAAGCAGAAGTTCTCAATCACCTGTGGTCCTCCTACGTGAAGAGTACTCAATCAATCATGTTCAAATCCAACGGCTGAGATAAGATTAGCGACGCAACACCAACGTGTTATGTTACACAACGGTTGATTTGGGCTCACCAAATTCCCACCTTCTTTTCTCTTTTGAGTTTTCAGGCATATATCTCTGTTCGTGTGTGTATAAATACCTTTCTCCTTTGAACCAGAAATCAGAGAGGGCTCCGATTGTAGACGAAAATTATTAAATTCTATAAAAATCAAAGTTAATTGAGAAATTCGACGGTCACGATTGAATCACAAAATGTCGTGGCAGGTTTACGTCGACGATCACTTGATGTGCGACATCGACGGCAACCATCTGGCCTCGGCGGCCATCGTCGGTCACGACGGTAGTGTGTGGGCCCAGAGTTCCTCCTTCCCTAAGGTTCCTTCCTTCTCCAACTTTCGCTCTGCGATTATTTTTGTTTCATTTCATTATTAGATCTGTGCAACTTAGGCTCTGTTTGTTTCCTGGGGAAAAAAAATTAACGGCGAAGTGAAGTTATTGGATTGCAAATGCAGTTACTTGTAAAACTAATGAATACTAATTTAACCACTTTAGTTCATATTGTACTGAAATCCTAATATTTTCAAAGTGATTGATTGATGTGGTTTGTGATTGATATTTTCTAAATGATCTGTGCTCTGCATGTTGAAATTTTGGTATTTGATCTTTGTTTGGTTGCCGAGAAAATGTTTTCTGTTTTGCTGACAATGTATGTATGATAGAAAGAATTCAGGTGTGGGTTTGCATCACAAGCTCATTTTGTGTTCTTCATTTTGATTTAAGCTGTGGCAGTGTCTAGTCTCTAGTGAGTGATGGAGGAGAGTGAGATTGATTTGCTTGTTTATGTGCAGTTTAAACCTGAAGAAATTGCGGCAATAATGAAAGATTTTGATGAGCCAGGGTCTCTTGCTCCAACTGGGTTACATCTTGGTGGCGCAAAGTACATGGTTATTCAGGGAGAGGGTGGAGCTGTCATTCGTGGAAAGAAGGTTTCTTTACTTTGCTCCTCTCCTTCATCAAATACTAATTGGTTATACTGTTTCCATTATTTTTCTTGTAATGGGGGGTAAGTTTATATCCATATGCTCAGTTTGTTTTGGTTCAATGGAAATTGAGTTTTTCTTTTGGCTCTGACTGTATTTCTTTCTAATGAAAATAAGTTTTCTGAGAATAGTCTCTTTGAAAAGTGTTTTACTTCATTGGGGTTTCAATTCATACTTTAACCCAAGGTTTGGAAGAGGTTTCCGCTTTTTGTTTCAGTTTTTAGACTAAGAAAATGCTCATGCGTATCTCAACCATTCATATCTAATATAACTGCTAAGAAACGTGAATCAAAGAAAGGCCTTTGGAGAGAACAGTTATATGTATGTATATATAATACCTACTCAAGAGCATATTGTGACATTTCTAATGGAACATCTACTAAATTTCACAATAAGAGTAGAGGAATTTCCACAAAAAATCCTTTATTTGAAAAATATTGTCTCTAGATTAGGCTTGCATTTCGTATGTTACAAGTGAGCGTGAAATGTGGACATACTGTACTCAAGTGAAATGTATCTGGCTGTTCAGTATAAATGAATCAATTCACTTGTGAACTGGTTCTTTTTATGCTAAACTAGTGGGCTACTTGAACTTCACCAGCCGAGCTTAAGCCAGAAGCAAAGCTTGTGGAAAAGATCCTAAGCTCAAGCTTGATGGGTCTCAGCTTGTTGTTTCTATGTATTTTAGTATAATTACATGTCAATGCAGATTTATATAAGTGTATATATGCTATAGATACTAAATATTATACATATATATGATATAGGCAAGGTACAGTTTGAGCTTGAGTTTACTACGGGGAAAGACTCGATTTGAGTCCTAATAATGGGCATCCTGTACTCAAGTGTGACATTTTATTCCCATAATTTTTTGAAAGAAAAGGTCTTTTCAGGCCATGATTTGTAAACAGAGGATTTTTAACATGAATGGCTCATAAAAGCATGCGATGAAGACTGTAAAGCACTTTATGTGCACCCATGTTATAAGTAGTGGGACTCATGGTTGTTCACCATTTGAACTTTTTAACTTGCTAACTATCAATTTCATTTGTTAAAGTTTCTTCATGTTGTAGTCAACATTCTGCATTCGCATATGCTGCTTATTATAGGGGTTTAGATAATGGTATGTCCTTGAAGAATAATAATAGAGCTTCAAGATCAAAAGTCCCACAGGTGGACCACCTTAAATATTCCTCTGTTTCGTATTTAGATTTTCTTTTGGGTTCCTTATTTTAATTAGTTCCTGTTGATAATAGACTCACTTACACGCTAAAGTACGCAAACACATGGTTGCCCAATTGCATATGCTTTTTCTTCTATAAAGTTTTATTACCAACCACCTAACCTGATTTGCACTCAATTCCCTTTTTCATGCGGCCTTATGATGTTGTGGTTGCTGTCTATGCAAAGTGGTTCTGGTCTATATGGGGCCTATATGTTAGTGCCTGACTGGATCTTTAAGAAGGATTGCGTCTTTCAGAGTGTCGTGAAGTTTAATTCAATTTGATTTCTTTTGCAGGGCTCTAGTGGCATTACTGTGAAGAAAACCGGCCAGGCTCTGGTTTTCGGTATATATGACGAGCCCTTGACTCCGGGACAATGTAATATTATTGTGGAGAGGCTGGGAGACTACCTGATTGACCAGGGGCTGTAGCTCATCTCACCATCATCGTTTTCATGTCTTGAAATTTTCTCTTTTTGGGCTTGCATCTACTTCCTGCTATTTGGCCATGAACTGGCACTGGTGGTGCTGCTGGGAATAACCATGTGCAGACAGAAGCAGTGACTATTGGTGTTCTAGGATTGTTTTATTTACTTCTCTGATTTCCTTGTTTTCTTAATTATGTATTTAATCACAGCTGTTTGCTCCTATTGACTGCATTTTTTAAGTTTGAAAATGCTTGGATTTCATGTTATTGTGATGTGATTAAAAATATATATATATATATTTTTTCTATCATGGGGAACATTCGGAAATTTCGCAAGTTTTCTTTTGAATGCTGGGCCTGGGTAGTGATCATATATCTGTGTGTGTATGGCAACACTATAATAATCATAACCGAATGAAAATATGTTATCGGTTCATGAAAATTCAGGATCCTACACTGAAATTAACCTTTTATTAATTTTCACCAACAATTTTTGTTGTTATTGTTTTTTTTTTGTTAGTATGTACCATAATCTAAATTAGAGGGGAGAGGGTCTTTAACACACACGCTGCTGTCGGGGTTTGGGGGTTTGAACATGACAACTAATCAACAAGTCAAGACCTTTTTTCATTAGGCTGGATCTCGTAGGTTTATATTTTTTAATTTATTTTTTATACAAATGATATTGGGGGAGACGGTAAATGCTCTTAATCACTCGAGCCACATGCCCTTACCATAAGAAACCCTCTATTTCTTTACTACTGCAAAACCGTAATACTTGTTTTTTTTTAATTTTAATCGAACTGTAATACAGGTTAATTGAGTTTTATAGCTTTTTGTTTATATATAAATTTATAAGTATCTTAGGATTTCGCTTCTTTCACAAGAAAAAGAACGCCAAGTTTAATCTTCCTTTAACACGCCAAAGCTCCCCTTCATATAGTCGTTCTTTTTCACAAGAAAATTATGGATAAATATCAGAAAGACAATGTTAGAAGTGAAATACCATGTTTTACGGAGAATTGAAGACTTATAGGCTTAGTCACTATTTAAAAACAGTAAGAAGTAAATATTGTGGTTGTAGAGTAAATGTTCTGGTTGTGAGGCTTATACCATCTGCCTATAAATTGAGACAATCTTCAGACTTTTGATACACACCAGTCAGAAGAGAGAAAGTGAGAGAGAAATCAGAGAGTTAGAAAGTTTTATCCGAGAGCGAAAATTCTATCAGTCTAGTACCAAAAGAGCAAATACAATCTCACCCCAATATTCAGTGGTACTTTCATACTCTGTCTATTTTATAACAAATTTCACAAATTTTCTTTTTGAATGCTGGGTGTAGTGATCAAATATCTGAGTGTATATAGCGACACTCTCAATCATAAAACAATAGGAAAATTATCTAATCGGTTCACCAACATTGAGCCCTAATCACCTTTCAAAGCTGCTTGCTCCCAAATCCTAGCCGCTCTCTCCCTCTGTGAGTCCTAAAGGAAAATTCCATAGAGGGGGAAGGAGGAAGAAGCGTCACTGCCCCTCCTCCCCCTCCTCCTCTCTTCTCGTCTTTTCCTTTTAGGTTAATAAATAAGTCCATTGGGGCGTTTTGAATAAAAAGCCTTTTGTGGTGGTTTCTTCTAAGCCATGGTTAGATTAAAGTTCACCACCACCCATTTTAGTCTATGTTCTCAATCAAACCATACTCCCAAAACCCGCTCCCTAACGCCGCTCATATTCTTTAAATTTGATTCTACATCGTCTTTGACGGAAGTTGCTGCAAATCAACCAATTGTTCTTTGGCAAAGTTGTGGTTTTCGTTTATTTATTCGCTCTTATGCGCTGGTAGATCGCTAGAAATCATATTTTCCCCAAATCTGTTATAGATGCGGTGGTGGGTGTGGTCGTGACATTGCTTCTTCAAGTGGTGGTAGTAGGGTTCGATTAGGCTCATGGGTTGATTTAGAGTTTTGGTTATATTGGGTTTATGAGCTTTGTTTGGGCTTATGGCTAATTGTGGTAATGTGGGCTACTATTTTTAGTGAGGCTTTTGTTCGCGTTAGTTTTGCTTTTAGCACGTTAGTTTGTTGCTCTCTTGAGATTGGTATTTAGAATGTCTTGTTGATATCTTTGATTGTACCGTTGAAGTTTATCTAATAAAGTTTCTATTTGATCCAAAAAAAAAAAAAAGCATTGGGCCCTAATCCGAATTTTGGAACTCAAATTCCAATGTGAATTTGCTCTTCACTTTGTTAGAGAGGAGATCGTGAGTTGAAATTTCATATACAATATCAAATTGGCTATAAATTACGATAACTAATAATGGCTATCGATGCCAACTGACTTTTCTGAGTTCTTGTTTAAAAGGAGATTGAATAGTGGAAATCATGTATGAGAATGAAAATACATGGACCTAATATCAACATCAACATCGTAAAAGGGATGTTGATGGGTTGTTGAAGGCACAGAGGAGTGTGGATAAGGGTTAGAAGAAGGGAAGATAATAATGGTAGGGCAAGACTGTAAGGAAGACTAATCTGAATTGATGTGAGAAGGTTCGTTTGCCTATCAAGTCCCCATCTGTAATTCTTTAAATGGATTTACATTATCAATATCAAGTCAAAATGTGCTGGCCTTAATGGTCCATCCCATCACTCTAATATTTAGGTGAGGTGCTATAAAAAGTGTAAACAGCCTAATCCCTGATGTGGTCCAACTATGATTTGGTACGTGAACCAAATCATTTGTGTATATCATCTTATCTTCTTTGTAATAATTTCTTTTGCTTTAATCAAATCATAAAACAAATTCATATCTGAAAATGCAGCTCAATTAATTGTACTTTCTATAACATCAATTGTATCTTTGGGACAGTTTTGGAACCAAAAATTATGAAAAGAAAAGCAAAAAACAACTATCAAAGTGACATTGGACTTGGTTGTTTACGGTTAATTCCTTTTTAGAAACTATTGTAATAAAAAAACCCAAATTCCTTTCCAACAATGTGACACGACATATTTAAAAGAAAAAGAGAAGCAAATCCCAGTAGAGAAAAAAATCTAAGCAGAGGATTCAGATCCACTAAGGATTACATAAATAGAAGTTTAATGATGATTATTTTCCGAGAAAAAGATGGAAAATATTCTTATGCACCAAACACAATCTTAAACTACATATGCTGCGTAACCGAAAAGGCAAGTAAAAGAGAAAAAAAAATCTAGGAAATTTATATTAATACAATAAAGAAACTAGGAGAGGAAAACAAAAATGACTATCAAAAGAATTTGCACAACACAACCTCTTTTATTAATTTAATAATTTGACTCTTATGATTCTTGATAAGGAAGTAGCCCAATTAGGAGATGTTGGAGTAAGCACATACCAATCTAAACAATGCACCCTAATGTTGATACATCTAGAACAACCTTCTCTTTTGACCCAAAGAACCTTGAAAATTATTGCATTATATATAAAAAATGGACACAACAATGGTCCAATGGTGACTCACTTACGTACGTAGGTGGTGGCTTAAAGGATATAGAGCTTATCTTCTTTTGTTTATTCGTACCATATAAAGAAGATAATGAGGAATCTTGGGATAAGGCAATCAATATGACAACATTGGGAGACAGATGAGTGCATGAAATTGCATGTTGTTTTGATTACCTAGTGGTCCACGTTTGCACCACCCATAGTTTTTGAAAAAAAATTCCCATTTGCATCTTTTATTTCTTCTATTAGACTAAACATGAGTGTTTGTATGTGTTGCTTCCTTGCCTAAAACACATAAAATTTTCATGTCATTACATGTCATGAGGACACCCCTTTTCTTGCAGGCAACCAAGTCTAATCCGTGTGTATCTTGTGCTCTATATATACATATATTATATATATGAAAACCTCTTTCAAACAATTATATCCGTAACTTTCTTCTTCTTCTTCTTCTTCTTCTTCTTCATCTTGCTAAGATAGGCTCCATCTATGGGTGAAAGTAGTGAGGGAGAAATGCTTCACGCTCCATGTTTGATCACACAATATGATAGCTACACAAAAGCACGGGAAGATAGCTGCGTGATCATGAAAGGACATGATGATGGTGGTGATGATGACGATAATGGGTATGTGTACGACACCACATCATCCATATCGGTCTCCGATCGATCGACATCTTCTTTGGAGTTGGTAGATGATGCATCTTCATCAACAACAACATCATCATCATCATCATCATCACGTTCTTCTTCCTTCAATTCTCATGGATCTTTGTATGACTTGTCGGATCTCATGGCCCAGCTACCCATCAAGTAAGATTAAAGAAAAAAGCAAACTCATCTCAATTCATGATTTCTAATTTTATATATCAACCTGATAATTTTAGCTGGATGTTGCATATTTATTATGTATTCTGGAATGTACAGAAGAGGACTTTCAAAGTATTTTCAAGGCAAGTGTCAGTCATTTACATCATTATCAAAGGTCAAGAGCGTTGAAGATCTTGCAAAGAAAGAGAGTCCTTACAATCAAAGAAAAGCACTAAAAGAAAGTAAGAGCTATGGAGGTGGCTTGGGTAGCTACAGATCCTACACACTTCCTAAGGCCACCATTTCTAAGATTAAGAAGGCCTCATCAGCTTCAAGGGCTTCTTATTTGTCATCTGATAATTTATCTTTTTCGAGTAGAACTAGAGGCGGCTCTTTTGGTAGTAATACGCTCCCCCCAATTTCTGTAAGAAAGAAATTTTAACCTACGTATACGTACGTACGTGTGCATGTATAATATACAAATATATAGCAAATCCATCATCTTGCAATAATGCTTAAATACAAATATATAAACTTGAATACTGGTTTTGCTGTAGGATTAATGGCTACATCAACAAAAGTTGTCCCCTTACAAGTTACAGCAGAATAAGAGTCGTTAAGCCCCATGAGAAATTGTATGAACTCAACCTATCCCATAAAGACTTGAGTTTGGTATGACACAGAGAGATAAATTGTTGTTCATGCTTACGCGCTACAATTTCACATTGAATCTGAAAAATACACGAGATGTTACCGATTGGGAAAAACGTTCTTTCAAATTTGACAATACCTCTGCTCACATGTGGTGCAGACTTGTTTAGGAGCTTTATAACTTGTGTTGGTATCCAAGTGCATGATTTTGATTAAGTTTATGATTTGGTTTGGGAAACGCTTTGGAATGCTTATGGATTTATTGGGAAAACATTCATGATTAGTACAAATATTGAATGACTT